TTTTTTTTTTTTTTTCAAATAGTGATATCTTTTGGAAAAGCAGTTGATCACATGCTTAGCTTTCAGCATGTACTCCAGTACCACTGAGGACAATAAGGACTTAATTTTAAGGGCATCGCTCTACCAGTGTAAAAATACCCATTCCCCTGAATGTGAGCCTTTCCCTGAATGTAAGCCTAATGCTAATTTGTTTCATCTTTTCCCAATCACAACTCATCTACAGCTCAGAGTAAAACTGACCTTCTAAAATACAACTCTTTAAACAGCTATGTGACAACTGACTTACAACTGACATTTTTATGCCTTTTTCAGTGTCTGAGAAGTATCAAAAGCTTTTTCGTACCAAGATGTGCACTTCTTAATACATAGGCTCTTTTTAACTTTTTATTTTCATTTTGCATTCCTGAACACTTAAGTGAGGACAAGGAAAAACTTCTGAATGTTCATTTCAATATAGCTCAGAGGTCACTCAAGAAAAAAAAAAATTAAAATAAAAATAAAATAAAAAAATAATTACCACTTTTCCTGCTTTCCTAATTGTTTGGTATTTGGAAGGATTCATTGCCTTAGTGGACTTTTTAGTTTTCATCTTATCCATCACAGCATAAACTGCAAAGCAGAGCCTTGCCATCCTTGGCAGATCACATACATTGATTTCAAACTCCAGCTCTTCATTCCAAACGTGGTCACTTCTCCCAGATATTTCTGTGCTTACAGTAGTTTTACAAAGGAGTTCTGTACCATGGAAAAGACCAGCCCTAACATGAACCTGCCATAAAGAAACAAAAGATATTAAGCTTGTCACAGAACCTACAGAATTCTCCATACAATATTATAGAGAATGTACATATATGAATTTCAACAAACAACTAAACAGAATGAAAAATTTAAGATTAATTTCCTGAATACCAATTCAAGTCTCCAGGTAGAACCAATTTGTGCTTCGAAATGAGAAAAGCTTGGGGTTTTTTCCAGCTTAAAAAGAAATAATTTTTTACTTAAACTGTTTATAAAAATCTACAGAGGGAACACTGATATTCCAGCATCAGAAATCACCTGTAATAATAATAATGACAATGTACATGATTTCCAGGAATTGTTTCGCCTTTACCACTCAAAAACCAACAAAACCAGGTAGCTTGAAGGATGAAAATAAGGATCAGGAAGGCAGAAGAACAAATAGATAAAGAAGCTGGAGCTATTGGCACTGAAATGAAATACATTCCAGGTCAATGCATTTCTGTTTAATAACACATGTACACAGAAAACTGCAGAGTGAAATATGCCAACTTCTTTCAGGTGGCCTTCCAAAAATACCAATATGAGATAGAAACCCACAAGTGTAATCCTTTGGTCAACACCTAATAGAAGTTCTCGATGTTACAGTTAAATGTGTGCAAGTGATCTGATGTCTCAGGTTCCCTAAGCTCCGAATCAACCTTCCCAACATTTCCTTTAAGCTACCAGATTATTTCTGAGCACTGCAAGGGAAAGACAGATGTTTCCAATTTGATACAGGTTTTGGATTAAAAAAAAAAAAATAATTCACCTTTCTAATTCTACAATTTCTAATCCTGTTAATATAAAAGCTTGGGTCCAGATTTTTTTCTTTGCGTTCTGACACTTTCCTTTTACTAATGACACTGTGTGTACCAATGGTGCAGTCAAAGAGCAACACAAAAAGACAAGCAGTTTCAAATGTCATGCACTTGGATAACGGGGTGTTAGACAGATGAATGAGGTCACTTGTGCTCTAGGTGAACATACTCAACCCAGCTCACATTATTGCAGTGCTACCCATCTGACAAATGTTTTGTTTCCCACCACAAACACTGCATTTGTGAACCTTGGTGGTGGATTCAGCAAAAAGGGATGAATATTGGCTTGATCCAAAGCACAGTGGGCGTAAATGAACAATGGCAGTGAATTAAACAGCCTTAGAATCAGGACTGGAAAACAAATGAGTTCTCAGCAGTGACAATTTCATAACAGTGTAGACAGACAACACAGGGAAACATGCACAAGTTTGCAGGGCTGCTCTGTGCATTCTTGTTCTTGGGTAAGCACAGGACTTCTAAGTTTTCAATACTAAAAAGCATTCAAAACACTAAATAATATTTAGATGGTGCCCACAGGCGCTAATACAAAAGAATTGACAACTTTTCCTGTTTCTTATAATCAAAGTATTTTCTTTTTCCTCTAAAAACATACTCAAATTAACCAAAACTCACTTTTTAAAGCATGGAAAATACACCTAGAAAACCTGATAGCTATATTGCTTCCAGAATCCACCTTCTTTTTTCCCTTTCTTTTCTTTTAAAAACTTGAGAGTTTGCAGAAAGCAGAGATAAGAAAATATTAGAACTATCTAAATAATGGTTTAGACAGAGAAGAGGGAAACATCTAGTTTTGCAGGGATGCATTTCCACAATCACAGTGTCTCAGGAAGTAAAATATAATTATGGCTCATTTTGCTATGTAGTAAAATGTAGGATTGCTAATTTACAAGGAGGTTGTAACAATAGCTTTGAATGAAACAAATGCACCAAGTATCCTGAATAAAGCATCAGAACAGCAAATATCAGTGGCTAATTGGATCTCTTCCTTCTCTACATGACTGGTTATACGATCTATTGATTGCTAAACAAAACAAAGGAAATTAATGTTGTTCTATCTCACAGGAATTGATCTTGTAAGGCCTTAAAGTAGTTTTGCAATAAATTCCCATGTGTTAACTTGTGGTCTGTACAACAGTCAGTAGCCCAGTCATGTACATTTTTACAGGAAGTGGTATTACAGCTTTCTTTCTTTGTGTTCCCCATGTTTAGAAAATAAAAGACAGATTGTATAGAAGCATACAGTCCATGTTTAGACACAGATATTTAGGACTACAAAACCCCTCATGTCCCACTGAAAAACATCTAATATTTAATCTGCGTCAGGTGTTTACAACAGTCTATTTCAAATAAGCCTATTTCACATCAATATCAGTACTTTACAGATACCACCTTTTAAAAAATTAAGTACTGTGTAAACATTCATGGCATTCTGTCACAATTATTGCAATGTTGTAATGCACATATCAAACTTCAGACAATAAAGGAATACTTTAACAGTAAAGCTGGATTTTTAACCAATGCTACCAAGGTCATTGGGAATAACTAAAAACGCCTATACTTCTGGTGAATTGAAATCTGTATGATTTTGAGTTCACTTAACATTGAAAATCATTAAAGTGATGAACAGAATGTCTTCTGATACTAGACATAGTTACTTACTTTGGCATTTTCTTCTGTATTTAGTTTATTACCCTTTAACAGAATAATCTTGAAAGGGTTGGAAATATCCCATACACTCTGAGAAGGGAAACAAAGACAAATTCATTCTTCATCAGTGTAACATTGAGACTTATTTTATAAGCTACACATTTTAAGCAAGTCGTAAATACAAACACAAATGCACTTTTAAAAATACAGATTTGAAATCTTAATGGATAAGTTGGTCAGCAATAACTTCAAGGAGACAAAGTAAAAACTCAGCTGAAAGGGGGTTGGGGAGGAGAACATACATCACATACTACTTCTGACAATTCAGAATAACCCTTCAAATTTATTGTTCATTCTGAATAACTACAGAGTGTGTAACAGAGCAAAGATCTGTCCACATTTCTTAGAGTGACAGCACACAAAAATTTAACTGTGCTGTAAGGCCAAAAGTTCAGTAATAAAGGAAGCACCAGATTATAAGAAAGTTAGATGCCTATTGTGGCAAAAATCGCCATCACTGCAGTGGCAGCATCACATTTGATATCTGGGCTAACACAGAGATCCCAGAGCACTGCTGCCCAAGCCAGTGGAGCTCCAACAAAGCTGGAGAACCCAGGCTCTCTGCAACAACTTCTCCAGTTGTTGGTAACAGATTATTACCCACTCTTCCGGGTTGTGATTTAAAGTACAATCAATAGCAATGGAAAGGGGGGGGAATGGATGGCGGAACAGGAGGAGGATGGATGAGGTGAGGGAAGGTAAGAAATTTCCAAGAAGCCTCAAGGTCTGCTATTTCTGAGGTAAATCTCACAAGCAACAGGTGGCTCTGAGTACACCCAGGTGACCTACACTGGCAAACAGCAGCCATAGCACAAATCCCAGGATTTATATTTCCTGGGTTCCTTTTGGGTATTAGACATTCCCCACATGAACTTACAGTTGTTGCTCTTGTTTTTTTTGGTGGCAGAGGAAGAGGAAGGGTGGATGATTTTCGGTTTATGGCAGCTTCTATGGCAATCATCTCCTGCTCACACATCTTCTTGATGGTGCAACACTCAACCAGAGTCAGCTGAGGGAGAGTCCTGTTCATCACACAGTTGCGGATGTACTAAAAGCCCACGGAAAACAGTTGTTACCAGCTAGCAGAGTGTTTCTACAGCAACTTTGAAATCAAAGAAACAAATAATTCATTACAAAGATACAAAGGGAAGGGTGCACACGTATTTTACAATTGGAGAGGGCTGCAGACATGAAGAGACAAGGTGTTACTGTTCAGCACAGCCGACCATCCAAGGGGACAGGGAGCACCTTTGGCCAAGGCAGCAGAGAATTGTTACACCGAGTTCCAAAAAATTTCATGTACCTGGAACTGAATTAACGGGTGATCACCAAAAACATATTCTAGCCTTCCACTAACTTGCAGCACATAGTCAGCAGGATCAACTTCCTCGTCTTCTTTTCCATGGATAGTCAAACGTTTTCGGATTGCCAGTTCATTCAGCTTGATGGGATTCATGTTAGGAGACACCTGGAAACTAAATACATCCTAACAAAACACAAGCAGGAATACTGAATGTCAAACTTGTCATAGTCAGATGTACAAGGCTTAAATTGTAGCATACATAATAAAATAGAGCAGAAATAATAACTGCTAAAACCAGTCTGTTTAACAGTTAATGTCTATATCTTTAGGGCAATCACAATAATAATCACCCTAAAAGCTGCAAAATGTCAGATCCCAAACTTTTATATTATCAGAAGTACTTTTAAGAACACAGACCTTTATCTTTTTGATTCAACAGCGATTTAAAGACTTTTAGAGCAGTGTACTGATCCAGCAGCTTGCTTTTGGAATGTGACTGAGGGAACAATAAATCATGCACACATTCCAAGGTATTTAGCAGTACTAGATGTGCTAATTTTTCTTCTTTCTGACAACTAGCAATCTATCCTCTTTCTAAGTACCACTGTACTCAGAAGAAAAAGAAAACTTCAAGTAATAAAGCAGAAGAAACTGTTAATGTGATTAACATGGATAACCACCATCAAACCAGGAGGAGAGCAGAAAAGAGGAGCAGCAGTCAACACCTGTAGCACTCTGAATACAACACGCAAAGACTCTGCATTTTCTAAGAATCTTTTTAATCAAACCTTTACAGGCTATTTGTATATTTCCAGAGTAACTCTAATTTCAATGTACCCTAAAAAGATTAGGGAAGAAATTACTTTCCTTTGTAAGTAAAAAAAAAAATTTTATTATTCATTTCAAGTTCCTAATGTAAAAGATCTGTGAAATCCTTCATTTCCCTTAATCTATCACATTATGCTCTGCACAGGCTTGTTTGCAAAGGTTGATTCAGGGAATTCTGAGGTTTTGGTGTATTTTTGATTACAAATGTGAAGTATTGTCTGGTTTACATTCTTTTGCATTGTGCTTTATTTATATAGACATTTACTGGTAAGAAGCCAAGCTGCCCTAATGGAAAACCCACGCTAAAGTCACGCTAAATTAATTCTGTATTTTCTCAGTTTCTGCATGGTTCACCACAGCTTCCCCCTTTCAGAAAGCTGCCACACTGTGAAGGCTTTCTCCTAGCAGTGGGTAGACAAGGAATAACACTTTTTCTTCCCAGAAAGCTGGCGCTCTCTGGCAGCTGCCTTCCTTCCCAATTGTAGGATTTGATACACACGTCACAGAAATGAGGATCAGCCTCTCTTGCTCCAGAGATAACCAGGGAGTTCTTATAGCTCATCCACACCTTCTAGACAAAAAGTATTTTCTCTTTCTCACTCTTACAGCTGAAAGAATTAAAAGACCACAACAGTCTCCTAGGATGATTCCAGTGCTCAGTACAAGTAGTAAGGTCTGGAACAGAGTTTACTGCTCTAAAAAGCAGCTCAGATTTGAACTGTTAATAGTTCTGAAGGTCAGAGCTGGCAGCAGAAGCATTTGAAACATTTGAAATGTCAGCAGCCTAAGCTATTATAGTGGTAGGCAAATACATTCTGCACCAGCATGAACTTTTGCTCTGCTTCTGTACTGTCAGCATATGCATATATATGCAGTATCTTAATCAAAAGCTGACAAACACACAGATACTCTCACTACTGGACAACTACAAGGTCTCTACTAAGCCAAAGAAGACTGCAAAAGGTTTTGTTATAATACACCTATGCACCTGACATCAGCTGGTGTTACTGTTGACCCCATATAGTATGCACCTCTACAGTTCTGTTCCCAGAGGCAGATTTGATCTTTCCATTTATTTTTTTTTTAAGTTTAAAAAGATAGCACTAGAAATTACACAGTTTTGAAAATAAAATTATCTGAATCATTAGAAAATCAGTATCTAGCACCTGGGTCAAAAGCCTGATATATTTACACACTTGTGAGATTTTTAAGGTTTCCAGTGCTGATCATTCACAGTTATCCAAAAGAAGAGAGTGAAAAAAGGAGTAATAGGAATGCTGGACTCAAACAGAGTCACAGCAACTTCAACATCAAAAAATGTCAGGCTAAAACATTTTAGGTTTTTTTGGCAGAAACGAAAGGGGTTTTTTATTTTAAAAATAAGCCATAGTTTTGTTAGCCAAAACAAAAAGGTAAGAAAAAGTCTCAGTGTTTTAATTGTCTGTGTGCATTTTGAGAAGAGGGAATACTAATTCTTTTCTTTTTAAATGCATTGCTCAATCTAATGAGCAGACCAACCCCAAAGATGTTCAAGGAGCCACACATAGAGGGAAGTGTGTTGAATTCACCAGCAATCCCTGATGAACTGAGCTTAAAACTGAATGCTAGTGAAGCAACACAGTAACAGTTGTCCAAAAATAGTCCTGACAACTTTGAATCATGTTTTATGTTTAAACAAATGTGAAATAATATGGAATATACAAGTTGTGCATTTTGCCTTGAGAAGTAGAACTGTAATTTGACTTTAGAAGTTCAGTTCTCAACTGTAGGTTCACATTCTCACTTTCTTTCAAGAGTCAAGGACCCTGGTGATAGAATTTGCATTTTAAAGCAAACACCACAATGTTAGTATTCTATTTCATTTACTTCAGTCCCATGCTAACTCAGATCTGGGTAAAAACAGACACGAAACGTGATGAACAGCCACTCCTACCTGGCAGTTATCAAAATGAACAGCCACTACAAGATTTCCACTGTAGAGCTTATCTTGGAAGCTCTCTGGGATAACAGGTTCCTGCTCTGGTGGGTAAGTGTGTTTTAACCAGTCCATCCAGGAGAGACCCACAAGGGACTGAATCTTTTCCTCGCTGATCCTCCGCATTTTAGCTCGGAAGTCGTTCACTTCAGGATCTTGTAAGGCATCGAACTCATGGAGACCTGAAAGAATTCAAACAAGCAAAAAGATATATACCTGAACCAGTGTGTCTCTTAGGTACTATTACATGGAAAAGCCAAGCTCACCCTGACTTTAATACTGTTTGGAAAGTTTTAAGTCTCTCCTCACAAGAGCAAATGAAGAGAAAGCACAGCAAATGCATCATAAAGACCACAGAGCAGAAGAAGTGTCTGCAAATATTTTTTTTAATCCCACAGAAGATGATATCATCCTTTTTAGTTGTGTTTAAAAGTCAAAAAAGAAAATCTTCTCAGATCAAAATGGATCAAAATGGCAGGACTGAAATTTCAGCCAATCCAAGACCAGTCAGGTTCCTTTTCCAAAATACGCGAAGAGAGAATTCACAGGGCAAGTCCTGCCTGACCAACCTAGTGGCCTTCTATGATGGAGCAACTACATCAGTGGACAAGGGATTGACTATGGATGCCACTTCTCCAGATTTCTGTAAGGCCTTTGACACGGTCCCTCACAACATCCTTCTCTCTAAATTGGAGAGAGATGGATTTGATGAGTGGACTGTTAAATGGATAAGGACTTTTTTGGACAGTCACACCCAGAGGGTGGTAATCAATGGCTCAGAGTCCCAATGGACATCAGTGACAAGTGGAATCTCTCGGGGGGCTGTACTGGGATCAGTGTTATTTAATATCTTCATTAATGACATAGACAGAGGGATGGAGGGTATCCTCTGCAGACCTGAACATGACAGGAAGCTGAGGGGTGCAGTTGACACTCTTAAGGACAGGATGCCACCCAGAGGGACCTGAACAGGCTTGAGAAGTGGGCCCATGGGAATCTCATTGAGGTTCAGCAATATCAAGTGCTGGTGCTGCACCTGGGTCGGGGCAACCCCCGGTATCAGCACAGGCTGGGGATGAACAGATCGAGAGCAGCCCTGCTGAGAAGGACCTGGGGGTGCTGGTGGGTGACAGGCTGGACATAAGCCATCAATTTGCACTCACAGACCAGAAAGCCAAGGTGTCCTGGGCTGCATCACCAGCAGCATGGTCAGCCCATGAGGTTCCACTCTGGTGAGACCCCACCAGGAATACTGTGTTCACCTGTGGGGCCCCCAACATAAGGAGGACATGGATCTACTGGAGTGAATCCAGAGGAGGCCATAAAGATACTCAGAGGGCTGGACCACCTCTGCTGAGGACAGTCTGAGAGTTAGGGTTGTTCAGCCTGGAGAAGAAAAGGCTCCAAGGAGACCTTAGAGCACCTTCCAGTACCTAAAGGGGAGGCCAATAAGAAAGCTGACAATAGACTTTTTAGCAGGGCCTGTTGCAACAGGACATAGGATAATGGTTTTAAACTAAAAGAAGGTAGATGTAGATGATACATAAATAAGAAGTTTTTCACAATGAGGGTGGTGAAACACTGGCACAGGTTGCCCAGAGAGGTGGTGGATGCCCCGTCCTGGAAACATTCAAGGTCAGGTTGGATGGGGTTCTGAGCAACGTGATCTAGTTGAAGATGTCCCTGTTCACTGCAGGGAGTTGGAATGAGAAGAGCTTTAAAGGTCCTTCCATCCCAAACTATTCTATGTTTCTGTAATGGAGAGTCCACACAGCTGTGACTCCTTGGTACTTCAGGATATGTAGGGCCTGCAACTGTGTTTATCTTTTCTCCTGAACTTGGAAGGACATGGTCCAAATCACACAAAGCACTGAACACCTTTTTAGAACAAAACACTAAGTACAGAAGCTCAGACAGGAACACTTTTTTCCCCACTGCTAAGGTACAGAGTAGGAGCTGCAGAAGGAAGGGCCACACGCAGCTGTAATAAGCCAAATATTCAGTCACAGACTGTGAATCTCTCAGAATCTGTCTGAATGGTTAAACTGACTAACTGCTCCCATTGTCGGCTCTAACAAATAGGCAGACAGTGTATTGCTGAAATCTAAACAAAACCTGCAGTCTTTATAAGGGACCTAACAATGGTTCATTGTTTTAAAACAAGAGGTGTGACCTCACACGACCCTGTCAGTCTGGATTGTATAACCAAGCAGAGTAGATTTAAAAGCTGAAAATTCTGACATAACATCAAGAATAAGTTACTGTGAAACCTTTAAAAATAGCCTTTCATTGTTTGATGAAAATCAGTGACACAATTGAGAGCAACAAAAGAATCATATTGTTAACCATCTCAGACACCACATGTAGTAAAATCATAATAATTCTAGTTCCTTCTGTGTAATCAGTTAACTCTTGAGCTATTCATGATAGCACTGTTCAAGGATTATGCTTTTCTTCACTTAGTAATAATAATAAAATTATAAATATTTTCTCCTCATCTACCAAAATAAAATTTTCTCTTGAATGATGTAGTAATACAATATAGTGCTGAAATGCAACATAGAAAGTAGCTTTAAACAACTTTCATGTTTCATCTTGAGCATTTAAATCCTTTCCAACTACATCAGTATTTGTTTGAGAAAGGGAAATACTGAATTTTAAGAGAAATTTTTAGAAATATTTTAATATATTTTTAATATATTTTACCTGCCCAGTAAAGACCCTCATAACCAACAAAGTTTATCCTTATTTAAAAAAAAAAAAAATCAAATGCAATTACCTTTGCCTATGAGGACACCTATTTTGGAATCCAACTTTTCTCCTGGATCACAATTCCTTGTCACTAGTTTAAGGACAGGAAGAAAGGGTCTAACATCACAAAGTCTCCGGGTTTCATCCTCTAATTCTTCATGTACAGCAGTCTGATTCACACATGAGAACATGTAAGAGTCAATCTCCATGAGGAGGTGGAAGAGTGGATAGGCATGTGCCTGCTTCCATAACAGCTGCAATGAAAACAGGTAAGGAAATGAAACAAAACAAGAAGGCATGGATATATGGTAGGGTATTTCCATTTGTGTGCCCAAAAGAACATAAAAAGTAGCATGTTTGCTAACTTGGTTCATTTTTATCTCTATTATTATTATATATCTACTTTGTCTCGTTTGTAGTCTCCACCTTGAGGTTATTTTTAAGTAGCAATAAGTGTGTGATAACTATCCCAGGGGCAAAAAACACACAGGGGACAAGTACTATGAAGTGATGAGAGAAGGGCAGCACCAGTCCTCATCCTGACCCTTACCCTTGGCTTCCCCAGCACAGTCCTTTTTGCAGTGAAGTTGCAGGACCTGGGCTGTCACCACAGTTAACAAAGCACTTATTGATTTTGGAGCCAGGCGCTCTTGACACCAACCAGCGAACTGCTGCTCTCCTCCATCCATTCCTACAGCTTCCTATCAAAATCCTTCTTCCTCAAGACACATCTGTATTTCCTTTTTCCAATAATTATTGTAATGTATAGACAAGAAGTTCTCTCTATGGAACCAATTCCTGAACAAAAAAACCACGTTGTCTGGAGAAGCTTAAAGTAAATTTATTTGTAAAGTAGAAATCTTTGGCAGAAATCAAAATTGTAAGTAAAGTAAGTTCTCCCAACCTAAACACTACTCAAATCTTTATCTGCAAAAATATTTTTGTCCTTATTTTACAAGTTTGCATTTTACAGATTAGTTTCTCAAGCTTCTTTCAAAACAGGAGCTGCAGGACCAGTAATGTAACGGCAAAAACCTCCTCTCAAATAATTGCAGCTGAACCAAACTGCTTTTGTGGAACTGAACACATCTGCATACATTTCACACACTTGTAACAATGAATTCTGTCTGCCAGAAATGTATTCCAGTGTATTCTGCATAGCTGAGTGAGAGCTCAATCCAGCAGCTTTCTTTGGTGTTGAGCAAAAATTCCAGTTTCAAAGGTATCGAAAGATTAAATCTATTATTGCCTCTCCTCCTGAGTTGTGCAACTTCAATTTCCAGCTACTGGTACTTCTTATATGACTTAATGATTACAAAATTTACGAAGGCATGAAGTCTCTGAAATTGGCTTTCACTGAAAGCAGACACCGTCCATCACCCACAGCATGGCCTGGTAAAATTGAAAATTCCATAGAAATGAAAAATTCTTCAGCCTTCAAATAATTGGCTATTTTACTCCCCCCCCTTATTTTAATTGTAACCATTCCATGTACAAGATAAACTCCTTATATTTGCTCTCAAGTCCTCTTTTTATATATCCAAGAGTCCACAAACTATGCCTTGTCACAGCAACGTGGTGGGAGCAAAGCTGCTAATCCAGTTTGCCATCAAAGTCTTCATTACTGTTCTGTTTTCAAATACAGTGATTTCCAGGAAAGACCTCTGTAGATAGGATCAACATTCCTTTTCTTTGAAAAAACAGCTAAATATCAATAGTACCTGTTTATAGCATGCTAAGTTCAATGTGCCCCAACTATCAAGAAAACCTGACAGCTTAGTTCAAGCCCCTTATTGTTGTCACTTACATGCTTGTTTTTTTAAATTCTTCAGCAGTTGAAATCACTATCAGTTATTCCATTATCTTACTCACCAACTAACCTGTTATGTTGCCCAGGTTCCCCCTTTAATGACATTTTTCCAATCAGAATTATTTCAAGTATTTGAGTACAGCACAAAACTCGGATCACTTCAATTTCTTCTGAAGTGGTCCACTGCCTGAGAAAATACTTCAGTGTCTGGAAAGTTTCAAATTAGGTGTAAAAGAAATTACATGAAGCTACTACTGATTCAAAGAAAATAAAGCCTATAAACAAGTGAATCCTGTCAGACCGAAGAGGCCTTAAAAACAATATACTTATTTACCAGAAAATGCAATGGAAGGAGACATCACACTTCTTTATTTTCTTTTAGAAATTTATTATGCTCAAGGATTAGATTACTTGGTGTTGTAATTCACTCACTGCCCTGTCTAAATGTCTCCACATGGCCACTGTCTGATGAAAGGTCAGTAGAATGTTCTTTAATATCTCTGGTTGTTTCCTTATGTTGTCCCCTTTGATTTAGATATTCCCTCAGATTTTAAGTGATGCCCTAACTTGTATAAAACCTTTAAGAAATGGCAGACAGACTTTTTAAAGCATCAGGCTTTGGTATCCATCAAAAGAAATAGGAGCACAATCTATGACTTCTATACTAATTAGACACACTAATCAGAGAAATGTTAGATCAATAAACAATGTATTACCAATGTGTTAGAAAAAAGATTTAGAGCAGCAATACAGTGTTAAGGTAGAGCTATTAATCTCTGCTGAACTGTAACTACCAGCAAGGAATAACATCTCCAAACCTTGCCATCTGCCCAAAGCCCTTGCAAACTCCCATATACATATATTTGTATTAGTCAATGTGCAGTGCATGTGCCTTCAACACATTATTTTTATGCCTACTCAAATTCATTACTTGATTTGCCAAAAGGCACATAAAAATCAGAAACAGCACTCACACCTAACAGAAGTTAAAGTTTAAGTTAACTGCCCACTTGGCACTACCTGTTTAATATGAGATATGGTGGCATCTCGAGGGACATCCAGGTTGATGTAGATTCCAGTGGGCAACAGGAAGTCCACAGATATTGAGCCATCAGCACCAATCTGTGAATCCACTGCCCAGATGTCAAGACTGTCTGTCACAGCAGGAGGCATTATGGAATCTCAGTGATATCATAACCACGTGGCCTTAGGGGGAAAAAAAAATTAAAATTCAGTATACTTAACCTTTTATAATTAGACGCACATTTTAAAGCCTTTGGAAAGTTTATATAAGTTCTGCTTGTACAGCTCAGCTTACAAGTCTGGGGTCTCAAATGCCAGTATTGCAAACACATAAGCACAGTTTTAGTCATTAATGTTATTTAAAGGTAAAGCACTATCGTTGAGATATTTATATAATTGTGACGAAGTAATAAGAGAAAAAACTAATTAGAGGTTAGCTAAAACAAAGATAGACATTAATTTCAGGTTTTCCCTAAAAATTTACTTGCATAAAACACAATCAAAGTAAGCTTCTTGGATGAAACATGGCAATATTTCATATAAAAACATGAGCAGTTTCATTATTTTATTTTTTGCAGGTTTCCTGTTAGTCGCCCATAGATGTGGCCAGTGACATATTCAACTTGAAAGTCTCTATGAATAGCAGGAAAAACATCTTCAACTCTATTAGAAAGTCACATTTTCCTCTAAAGACACTTATCTCAATTTGTTTTCACCCTTAAAGTTACAGGACAACACCCTCCAGTCTCACCTCTACCTGCCATGTAAATATACTGAATAACAAGACCCACTTTTCCTCAATAGAAGCAACAATTAAGGAGCCTCTGTCATCATCACTATCAAATAATGTTTTACCACCATCATGTCCTCATTTCCCCCCCCCCCAAAAATCCACTACACTGATCGAATTGAATCAAAACAAAAAGAACTGGGGGTGAGGTTGCAGACCTGGTGAAATAACAAATCAGATATGAAGACATTTTACCTGAATTACCACATTTTACCAATGGATTCATTCATTAATGGGCATGCAAAGTTTAGCACGGTGTGTGAGCTCTAAACTGCATACAGAAAAGAAATAAAATGCAATCCCAAAATGCAACATAGATTACATTATTGGAATAACACAGCATCTACCCAAAAAAACCTAGAGAAATCGTGTAGTTCCTCATTACTAATCAGGAGATCTTTAACAAGTTACTATTTAAATGGGATACTATATTTCTTTTCCTCCATCCAGTTTCTTCTACCCATAAAATCCTGGCTGCAGTTCTGTTGTAACTGAAATTAGTAGTCCAAGAAAAACAATAACACTAAACATTTTTCATACTTTGATGCACACACAGTATATTTTCAGTTATTTTATGTGGTCATCAGATTAAAATAAAGTGGTACTGCCGTTCTAAAACATGACAGGTACAGCAGCAAGGAAACCATTAATCTGTTCTATGTAGTTATTTAGTTCATAATTCATTCCTGTTTTACTTCAGCATATGATTTTTTTTAATTTTCATCCCCTTTCAGATGTTTTTCCACATTTGCAATTGTGAAATCACTTTAGTGCATCAACAAGAGTTTAAAAATGTTCAAAGAGGCAAGAGTTAAAAATGCAGCCCCACACCCCGAAGCCCAGGCACCACAACACAGAGAATTATAAAGTTTCACAAGATTCTTGTTTATAATTATGAGCTTCCAACACACACATCAGAATCTTTTAAATTTCCATTTCCATTTTCCATTAAAAAGGGAAGCACAGCCATCATGCCAGCCTGAGCATGCTGGGAAGCTATTCTTGCTTTCAGGCACTTACTTAATATTTCCTTCCTCAAGGAAGTAGATCAGCGTCTTGTACAGTCAGCACCCTGTTTCTGACCCAGCAGTGACATCAGGGGGGTCAAGAGAGAACCAGTATTTATCCTGAGAAATGGCAAACCCAGGGTGGCCGTGAGAATGACTCATGGCCCAAACTGTGACATGTAGTGGCACCAGTGACTAATTTACAATATCACATCTAGGAACTGAAACAAAGTCATCCGGATGGGGAGCAACAACACCAGAGACATTTTAAACAACTTCCAGCTAAAGGGAAAAAATCCCAACAATTAAAATAATAATAAAAAGCTATTTCAGGCTGTTAACCTCATAGTTATTCTTGCCTACTGCCACAGTAACAACAACTTCACGTACAAAAAAAGGAAGTCATTAAAACAGCTATTCAAATCTCGGCTACTCAAATAACTTTGAATTTCACAGCAGCAAAGCCCAATACAAAATGCTTTTCTAAGTCACAGGTATGTAGTATTTATAGACAGCATTCAAAAAGTGCAAATTTTCTCTAAAGTTTACCCTGTGTGTTTCAGATTCATATACATGTGTGTACACATACACACACATTGGAACTCAAAACTGCTCAACTCCTGCTTCGATATACCAGCAGTTCTGAGAGAGCTGCTTAGACTAAAGGAAAGAAACAAAACACAGATGAGTAGAACATCTGCAGAACAAGAAAAAGAAAATTCAACATTCATTTTTGTGTTTACTTATTTAATGTCCTCAAACAAGAAGCCTTACAACAAGATTTCTCAATTGGATGGTATCATTTGGTCTTTTAAAGGAATTATCATCTCTAGGCAAGAGTTCCCCTACTAAGCCACCCACTCAGACACTGATCCCATTTTGCTGAGAAGGCAGGCAAGACTAGTTTATGCCAAACTCAATTCCATCATAACTACTTCAGGACATCACTGAGAGGCCAGGAGCACCCTGCTGCAAAGGCTTCACACCACTGCTGCAAGAGTTGGAGAAATCAATTTTACCTGTGCCAAGCAGTTAGTGTGCACATGTAAAGGAATTATATCCAGGATGTGCAAGGATCTGATGTAAAACAGCACCAATCAAGAAGATAGGAAAGACAAAGGAGCACAGGAGAGCTCCTAAGGTTATCCTGAAATTAAGAGCCACACAAAAACATGCTCAGAAAAAGAGAGCCTGTCTGAAGGCACTGCAAAACATCAGACATGGAGTAACAATGTCATGAACTTTCCTTTGAAAATAATTGATCGTATCAGCAAAAGACTTAGAATTAAAAAGCACCACAGAATCACAGAATCAATTAGGTTGGAAAAGCCAAATCCACTTGGATTGTCATCAACAGTCAATATTAATCTGTGTCAGATAAGTTCTTCTGAAACCAACATTTTGAAGAATGCACCAATTATGAAAATTCACACTATGTCATTAAGTCCTTCACTTTGAACTCACCACAAATCCCCTATCACTCATCCTTTGAGGTCTATTTTTTGTTATTAAAAGAACATCAACATAAAATCCCATGCAACATTCAATCCATTATCCCGAAGCATAATCAAAAAGAATATTAATAAAACACAAATAAAAGTAGCTGCAAAGAAGCTGGTGATTATAAACATTAGAGGAAAATGTTGATGCCCCTGTTATCTCTCACAGCATTTATTCTCCTGAGCATCAAAAAAGATCTTGTCTTCAGACAAGTCTTTAGAAGAGGTATCGTACATCTGAAATGATGTCACCCACCCCTGACATGTGGTCACAGCTCTCTCAGGATGGAATAAATATGCTACCATCCCAAACAGACAGGAGAAACCTGGGGGGGGATCGCTTGTGTACTAAAAAGTAATTTTCCTTAGGAAATAAGTTTCTTTTACATCATCTCTTCCAAACACAGATGCATTTTAAGGGCACATAAGTATCTACAGCTCTTCAGATTAAATATAAACCTGGATTTACTTTTCTTTTCACTAAAAATACGAATACTTACATAAAGGACAAATATCAGAAACTAGCTTGTTCTGCTTATAAAAAACTAAGAGCTCTCTGCTTATCCAGATTTTTGCTTTATGTCAAAGTTGTTACAACTGTTGAGCACCATTCAAGACGATTACCACTGTGTTCAATACAGCTCTTTATCTACTGCTTGCTCTGTCATGTGGCACTCAAGGGGAAAAAAAAAAAAAAAAAAGTCTTGTAGTAGTGAAAAGGGTAGTGTTTAAACAGTATCTTACTGTCCAGAACAGACTAGTGACAATCTGACCACAGTAATTTTGTAGGAAACAGCAGCAGCATATCACATAGTCTAACTAGGAGAAACTCTAAGCACTTCCACAATATAACCATTGTAATAATTTTTCTAACTACGTAAACATCTGGTGCTATGAAAAGATGAGTAAGCTATAAATGAAATATCTGAGCACAAACAAGGGAGAAGAATCTAGCAGAAAGATGGGAAAGGAGTCAGAATATACAGGAGGGTTTATGTCCTATGAAACTTAGGAGGCCTTTGGGGAAAAAGAGAAATTAAAGGAAAAATTGAAAAAAATTCTGATATCTTTTGAAAACTTTGAAGTCAAATATATAGATTAGATCAGCGTGCCAGTTCATAGCTTCACAGAACTACATCCTCTTGTATTCCTAACACAGTGAATTCCCGGGTGCTGCCCCAGCCCCTGAGCTTACAGGCCCAAGGCAGTACCGCAGCCAAGGCACAGGCAGCAGTTTCCATGCGCTGCACGGAGTCCAACTGGATTTACAGGGACTCCAACAGGATCCTTCGGACACCAGCTTGACTCTGCTAAGTCACCCTGGTGCCACCGTACCCACAGCTCACTCTGAGGGCAGCCCGCGGCCAACAGCAGCGCCCTTCAGCTTTCCCCTTTCCCTGGTGCCACCGTACCCACAGCTCACTCTGAGGGCAGCCCACGGCCAACAGCAGCGCCCTTCAGCTTTTCCCCTTTCCGGCCATCCCCTCTCCCCGCTCAGGGCACACAATGGGAAAACAAAATAAACAAACATTGCCACTTTTCCATCAGCCCAGGGCCTGCCTCACCCTAGGACGAGCAGGCACCGTATCTGAAACCAGGGTGTGGTGGGAACACAGTCCTTACCCTCCGGCAGCAGTCAGAGGGATGAAATCAGGCTCCACGTTGGAATTGCAACCAAGCTTCTGCTCGAAGGTTTAACGTGACAGGAGCACCGATGCTAAGCCTTGCATGGGCCACTGAGAACTGGATCTTCTGTTCCCTGTCCCTCCCCGTTCGCACAGGACCAACAGTGACCCTCTGTTAAAGATGGCATCCAGTGCACTGACAATTAAAGTTTATTCTCTTTTACTACATACCATGCCACTGAAATTCCTACTTAGCCCTAAA